GTGCCATTAAAGGGTACAGTAAATTCCCTCCAATTGTCCCTCAGCTTGTGAACGAAAATGGACGATTCGGGAAGGGGAATTTCGCGGTTTATTTTTGTAATTGACGACAATCGGAGACTACAAAAATGAGGCCTCGTATAATCGTATCTAACTCTTCTAAAATTGTCCATTTTCGTTCACAAGCTGAGGGACAATTGCAGAGAATTTACTGAACATCAAAAATTGGCAAGAGAATGGTTTCTCTCTTTTCACGACGTTCGAAAATGACTTAAAAACTGTGTCTATAAATTGAGAACGTCGAAGGGAGGTTCGGAAGACGGTATATTTAATAATCGCTGCGTTATATGGTTCGTCGATAAACGGACAACGGCGAATATTTTGTCCGCTTTCGCAACGCTCGAGAATGATTTCGGAGCAAACGGATTGAATGGAATAGAAGGAAAGCGAGACATCTCGGTAGAAGCAAGACGGTGTCGTTATGAGTCCAAGAACTACCAACTGCCTCGGATGAGTAAGGCGGCCAATCAGCGTCTCCCGAGATCGCGGGATAAGACCCGCACCGTCGAATTACTTCTCTAATAGATGCATCAGGTTGGCCAACAAAGTATCCCAACGAATGAGCGTATAAGCGGAGGAACGATATAATAGCGTCGCGAGAGGTATAATATATAATATAAAATAGTTCTTCGGGAGCAAAAAATGGCTGGCAATCGCGCAGCAGCGTTCTCCGATAATAAAGAGGGTGGGCCGCAATGTTGCGAGGTGTTCCAGCGGCAGGTGTTCGGAAAGAGTGGCTTAGGGAGGACGCGACAAGAACGAAACGCATGCAGGTCTGGGGGCAAAACGATTTTTCAAATAGCAAATATATATATATATTGTTGAACGTATTTTCATCTGTTCAGGTGATACAGAATTTGTTACATTTTTTGGAACAGTAGTTACACGTGGAGATCGCACTTCAAATTGTATTTAACTACAGAATTATGCGGATCTCTTTATGCAAGATCAAAGTTATCTGCATCGATTAGAAGACGTAGGAGCCGAGTGCAAATTTTGTATGCTCTTAAATAATTTTAATAAATTGAAATCAATGCATCGATATCTTTATTTTCTTCTAATCGGTTCCCTATTTTCTGTTTCGCGTAAGTATTTTTGCAGTAAGTGCGTAAAATCCGCGGTCTAGTAATTATTATTTCCTGTAATTTATTTCCGTGTTACACGAGAAAACACAAATATTCATAGTCTATTTGTTATCTCAAAAATCGAGTTTTCCATGTGACGGAACGGAATATTAGAACTAGCAAGGATACGCGGAAAGGGAGATGTGAGAGAGAGGTGTAGTCGGATAAAAACCGTAACGTTGAAAAGGTATTTAGTAACAGATGTATCGGGAACAGGGGAGGACGGGGGTGGGGTAGGTGGAGAGGAAGTTAAGGAGCGAAGATGCAAGAGGAGGAAAAGGACGAAAAGGAAGGAGCCGTGAACAGGAGTAGAAAGAAGAAGAAAGGAAAGGGGGAACGGTTGGGAACGGGCGTGCTCGCTGCTCGCGCATTGGTGCACCTCTGTGTACGATGTGTGCAGAGTCGCCATGTTGAATACCCCCACTTCCGTTCCACGTGTCCGTACACCTACACAGGTGTTGGGAACGCGATACCGGTCGCAATATCGTCTTCGGTAGGGCGAGAAATCGCGCATCAACGGCTCCGCCATGGGGGCTGGTTATCCTCACGGGGGGCTGGTGGGGGCAAGATTGGTCCTGAGTCCTGAGGCCGAGGCCGAGGCCGCGGCAGCACGACGCTGTGCCACGGTCCCCCGGTTCTGCCCCACATGGAATCGCTCGGTCCCTCTTCCCCCGTTCCGTTGTTCGCGAGTTTTCGCATATTTTCGGCGAGTTCGGCCATGGAAATGTGCTCCAAAATGAAATCGTCGCGTCGGCGCGAACGCGGACTTTTCTGACGCCGGTCGGGACACCCAAAATTGCGGCCGATGTAACAGCTTTCCCCTAATTAAAATTCAAACGGTCGCCTCTCCGTTGCCGGCTATAAACGTCCGAAATATTGCGGCAGACTGTTTATAATTTGAATCTGGCGGTCTGATCTCCGCGGTCCTCCGAGAGAGTCCAGCGTTGCTCGAGTTAAAGAGTCGAAAGCATCCAGGCTCCGTCGCATCGCTATTATTATCAATTAGACGCGGCGTAATCTGGCAAAAAATCGACGGACGTAATTTATGCGAGAATGCGCGAGCTGGAGGCTGTAGTTCGAAAGTGTTCGTAACCGGGCGACGCCGATGCTAATCTGTATTTTCTACCAATTAACGGCGACAATCGAATTAATCAAAAGCCGGCTCGATCTGATAAAGCGGTAACGGGACGACCGGGACGCCGGGCACGAAATAACGGGGAACAAATTGCACGACAACATAGTTTCCTCCTCGGTAAAACGGCCGGCCGGTGGCTGATTGAAAAACTGTGTCGATCTATTTTTGCGGTCGGTTTACGGGGGGCTACCGAGTGATTACCGTGAACGCCGACTCAGAAAATGACGCGCAGATCACTGGCATTACAATGCTCGGCAGCGCGGTCTAGAATTTCACGTTGCCCGGGACAGCAGCAGCCGGTTTCAGGCCGCGCCGTGATCCGAGGCGAAAACGGCGAGAGAGGAAAAATTGCTGATCAAACGGGCATTTCGCGCGGCAATTTCAGCGTCCACCGGCTAAGAGAAAAGAAGATATATCGGGACCGATTCCGCGAATTATCCTCGCGGGTACCAATCATCCGGTTTAACATTTTCCTCGGCTTTCCTGGCGGTTGCCTGGCTTCTGACGATTTCGAGGGACTTTCTACCATTAGCCGGAGCCCGTTCGCCAATTACGGTATCAAGAACCGACGTAAGAAAACTGCGGAGGAGCCACTCCGGCCGCCCGGTTTTTGCTGTCGATGATGATCCCCGGGCTAATTGACTCGTTTCTTGTTGCTAATTAGATTAGAGAGGCCTAATAGTTATTGCTTGCTACGCGGACGACGGGTCGACGTCTCCGGGAGCCTCGCGTTTTCCTGTGCTCGCCGGCGAATTAGTATCTACGCGGGATAATCGGTCTTACGTAAATTGTTGGGTAACAGCGTTTCTTTGGCCGCGCAGCTTTTTCGAGGGATCGAAATTCGTAGCGTTTAGGAAATTATGGCGTTTTCGGTGTCACGCGATTTTCTGAGAGTCTCTCGAATTTTATCGAACCTTCTGGACGATAGACGATACCAGCGTCTCAATTCGATTGCACGGTTTTCAGATCAGAGAGATGCGAAGTGCATTTTTCCTTCGAATGGTTCAACATTTTCTTCGGTGTCATTTTTATATTCTTTTTTTTTGGAGCTGTTAACGCGATCGATAACAGATGAACGACTTTCGAACAAAAATCGTTGACCCTGATAAGAATATAAAATGCTCTCGTTCGACAGGTGTCCAGTACAATGTCCCAGAATCTGTGCAGAGATCGAATTCCCTTTTTTCCCCCGTAAAACAGAACTGCGTAACTCATCAATTAAGCCTGCGCGCATGATAAATTACGTAAACGATCGACAATTACCTTGATCGTGCCGCGATCGCGTAATTTCTCGCCGCGTTTCGACACCGTTTCCCCGATCCGCTGGATCATTAGATTAAACACAGACATTAGCCGGGACACGTCCCTCCAGATTTCGCGTTTCCGAAGAAAGTGTCGCCCGTGTACGCCCCGACACCTTAAATTACGCGATCGCGTCGATCGTGCCGTGCAATGATCTGTCACGGCGATCGCTCGTTAGCACGCCGAGGATCCATTAGAAACTCGGATTCTCGGATCGCCCTTCAATCGAAGAACATTAACCTCGATCTGCGAGCAAAATTCTCCTCGACGGCTCCAAAATTCCCGGGGGCACATTCTATTCCTCGATGACCCGATTGTCGAATTGTCGAACGAGCAACAACATTTAGGCCAATTTTAAACGACCGTTCGTGTTCCCGAATAGCTCGGAAACTCCAAGAAGATGCTAATAAAATGGACGAAAGAGACCAAACGATACAGAGAGATTACTGTCAACTTGGAAACGACTGAATAAACAAATATATTTGTGCTCGCTTGCAGCTACTAGCAACGGACATCGGTGCACATTGTTTCCGTGCACGGAGATCTACGCGGCGGATGATCGATCGATCGATCTAACCGAGTATTTCCTACAAGGTCGATAGACCAAGGGAAAGGGGAGACGTTAAGACCCGAAAAGTCACCGAAATGGACTAAATCCAGCCTCTTACCTAAGACAGAGCTTGCAGCGGAGGAAAAACAGACTCGTAGGATCCGCGGCCAACCTCCTCGGATCTTTCCAGCGGAGCCCCCACTCGCATGGTGCGCCTTGGCGTGAAGATACACAAAGTCACCTCCGAGGAACATCGTCGGGTGAACACTTTTCCCGGGTGTTCCTCCTCCTGTGGGACGAAAGAAAGCTCGCCGAGGCGAACGAAGACGGGAGACGGGAGACGGGAGACGGGACGAGCAGCGAGAAGACGGTGGCCGTGGAAGAGGGATAGAGAGGCTGGCCTCTGGAGGGGGTCGCGACGTCGCGAGGCGTTGTGAAGGGGTGTAGGGTGGAGGGTGGAGGAGCGGTGGGCCGAGGTGGGGGCTCCAGACGTATTAATTAAACGACTCATTTTCATCGCACGACAAAAACGTGAGTTTAACGCCCATCGGCGACTAATGCGTCGGCCCTCTGCAGCCCGCCGGTACCCCGAGGAATCGCGGTAGCGGGCTCCGAGCGGAGCCGAGCAGAGGAACGGACCAATCGCGCGCCAGCTAATGCCCGCCCAGACTCGTCGTTCGCGACGCTTCGCCCCGCCCACCGTCGCTCGGACCTTCCCCCCACCAAGAACCGCGGCGAACCGGCCGGTGGGGATGACGGGTGACTCGCGGCCCCCACCACCGGCCAAGAGCGCCTCGTTTAGCCTGTAATTTGCTCAAACACTAGCAAGCTCTCGTGCCAGAAACATCCGTCAGAGCCGCGGAGCTCTGTGGCCTGCTGGAGTCTCGAACTGTACGCGGCCTGCACACTCAGCCAGTTAGCTCCAGCTTAGGCGACACGGACACCGGCTGCGTAACCGTAACCAGCCCCAGGCCCCGTCGATCGCGTCTAACACGGTGTGCAGCAGCCGTCCCGAAGATCGGCTCTCCCGATGGAGAGCTGGTTGCCAGTGATTGTGTACCGGAGTGCCGTGTATTCGAAGTGGTGAACACACTCTGCGCCTCGCCTCTGATGGTTCGGGGAGATCGCGGACTCGGGTGATCCTCTCGGGGGGCGACGTTCGCCGGTAATCGACTGTCGCAGGATGTGTGCTCGCGGTGCAGGGAACTGAGTGTCGCGCGAGCGATCGGATCCGGTGTGTTCGTTCCCGGACATGTTACGCGTCGATTAGATCGCGTTCTCGATCGATCGGACAGCTCCCGCCAGACGTCGCGAGTGCCAGTTGGCCGAGTAAACGGCGAACGGAAAGGAAATATCGGCAGTGGATCGAAAGTGTTTCTAGCCGTTCGAGCGACACCCGAAGCGGGTGGTAGCAGGGATGCGGCGGACCTGACTCCGCGTAGCCCGCTCGTGATCCTGCCGACCCACCGAAGCGCGTCTATCCGCCAAGCGTACGATAATCGTACGATGATGCCGCTCGCGCCGACGCCAATCGTACCGGTGCCCTCGAAGCCGAAGATCGGCTTCAGCATCGACTCAATCGTGGGCGGCGGAGGCCAGGGCGGTCGGGAGGACAGATTGGACCGCCTGGAGCGGGTCGAGATCGAGAGGGATGGCAGCCCGATGGACGTCGAGGGCTCCTCGTCGCCGCGGAGTCGTCGGGTCACCGCCAGATCGCCCGGCGCCCATTCCGAGGGCTCCGACAGGCCCGTGTCACGGAGCTCCTCCATAGAGTCGTACCCGAACTCGCGGAGGACGCCCTCCCACAGTCTGCATCACCATCACGGCAACCACCACGGCCATCACCATCACCTGACCGCCGCCACGCACCTGGACTTCAGCAGGACGACGGTGCACAGCCACAGCGGCGGCTCCACGCCCAACAACAGCCCCAGTCCGCCCCACAGGATATCGCACGGCGACTCCCCCGTCGGCGCGCACCCTCAGCCGCCCCCGGGGGTCGTCCGACCTAGTCCCAACTATCTCGCGCCGCCGCCGGGCGCGGCGACCGCGGCCGCCGTAGCCGCGGAACAGCTGAAATCGCTGTACGGCCTACCCGGACACGGCCCATCGGGCCCGCAGACCGGCCAGAACGAGTATCACACGCAACAATTGGCGCTGGCGGCCAATCTGGCCGCGGCCCAGCACTTCCAAGCGGCGAACCTCGCGGTCGCGCTACAGGCCCACCATGGCGCGTCGCCCCATGGACCGCCGCACGGGCCCTACCCCCATGGCGGCGCGCCCGGCGGACCCCATCCGCCGCCGCATCCTCATCAACCGCCCAGAGATAGTTACCCGCTCTACCCCTGGCTGCTCTCCAGGCACGGGCGCATCTTTCCGCACCGGTTTCCTGGAGGTACGTACCGTTTTTCCTTGCTTCGGAACAATACCAACCTCGGGATCGAGGTCCACCGGGAATTGGGATGTTCCGCGTGGAACCCGGAGATCTTATCCGACCGAAGAAACGGGTATCTCCGGGTTGTCGAGGGAAGGACGAAATGGGCGACGATGGCGGCTTTGTTGGGATATTGATTATCGAGTTCGATCCTTCGGGGCTCCTACCTTTTGTTTTGGGACTTGCTGCAACGTCGTATGTAACTTAAGATGCTTGGAAAATCACGCGATTGCTCGCAGTCCATCGGCTTTTGGTCGCTGTCGAGTAGCTGTCCATGTTTCCGTGCAACGTCGTAGCCAAGATTTTTATCGATTATCGAGGGAAAGAAGGTTCGAAGCGCACACGTTTCTCGGCACAGCGGCGAATTAATCGTCACGGACGCGTTGAAGTCCGTTAGATCGCGGTCCGCTTGTAACTTCGCCGCGACACACGCTCTATCCGATTACGACACTTTAATGCCGCATTGCTACCGAGTCGTGGCTCCTTGGATCGATCGCGGGCCTCACGCTTCTCGGCCGTAGAGACAAGCTTCCGAGAAACTGGCCGCAAGAACCAGTAATTAAAGTCCGAATAAAGCGGCGCTCGGGCAGCAGCGACAAGAGGAGATTATCTGTTCGAGGAGCAGTCGCTGAAAAGAGCTTATCGATCGGCGATTAATTTCCGAAACGAATCCGCACCGTCAATGCCTCTAATTACCCGGGCCCGCGCGCCGGCTCTCGGACAAAAAGCGACGCGGCCGAATCGCGCGCGCACTTTCTCCACGGGGCCGCGGCGCGATTTCTTCTCGCGAAGCTCGCGAGCCGGCCGCAGCGACATTATCCGAGGCGTATTTCTCCCGGCGCGGCGAGTTCCTCGAATTCGATTGGGTCCGGTTAATTGCCGGCTTTAACGAGACCGTCGCGGGAAAAAGTGGCCCGCGACCGGCGATCGGGATCGAAGGATCCGACCCGGCTAGACCACTCGGGCCCGGCCGAGCAGGGTCCGGCCGAGTTAACTCGTCATTTTCAGGCGAGTTAATAAACTCGCGCGCCGATCCCTCTCCTCCTTTCTGTCCCTTTTTCTTTCGCTTCTCTCCCCGGGGCTGAAACGCGCGCGACCGGTTTCCTCGCAACGATCCTCGAAACCGTGCTCTCTCGCTCGGGCCCGGCGCGCCGCGCCGATGTAAACAGGCCGCGGAATCGCGCGTGCACGAGCTGCCACACCAGCGAGAGAGGGAATTCTCTCTCTCTGTCTCGGCTCGGCACGATAATTACGCGTAAAAGTTGGTAAATAACGGCGGGTCGTAGTAAAGACGTTACGCAAAGATTTCGTAACCGGGTCGCGCGCGCTGGTTTTGTAACGATCCCGGCCGAACGGCCTCCCTCGTTATCGGCCACGAGCCACTCCGCGGCAAAAACACCGCTCCTCCGAGCGTAATTGATTCATTCGGTGCCCCGATAACATCCAATTATGAATTATCCCGCGATACGGGATATCGTAAGCCGCGATACCGTTCCATCCAGTCATCGCGCGACGACGACGACGCGCCGTCCCGATCGGTACGGTGAACCGGGGCTCGCTCTCCGGGAAAATTCGATAATCGAACAAGGAAATCTTGTGAAACCTGTTATGAAACTGCTCCTCGGATGCTCGCCGAGATTTCGTGTTACGTCAGTAACGCGACGCGTGCTGACGAAGTGGCGCCGATAAGGGCTGGAGTTCAAAGTATGTATTCTGGATCTCGGTCTCGCCGATCGCGTCTTCGCAAGATCTTCGCAAGAATCTTCGTAAGAATTTTCGTAACATCGCGATCTGCCGTGACAGTGCTCGAAACAGTTGGAAGAAGCCACTCGAAAGAGACGCGACGCGGCACAAGCTAGTTACCGTCAATTTCGCAAATTAATATCGCGCAAAACAACCGGCAAAAAGTTAATACCCGCGGACGTGGAGACGTTAACGAACGACCGATCTCCGTGCCGACGCTAACGAAAAGGTCTAGATAATAAAACGCCCGAGGGGCAAACAGAGGAATAAATTATTGTCACTTTCGCAAATTAATAAGATGTGAAACAACCGGCAAAAAAGTAATAATACCGCGAGGCGGATAAAAAAGAAATATTCCATAACGGAGGACGTTGAGGTCTCAATCGGTGTTTCGCTTCTTGCCATCGCGCGCTCCGCGGCCAATCTCATCGGCGTAAATCAACTGTAATTAACCGGGACACGCGGAATTACCGTGGATATCCCGGTCGTGATACCTCCCGGTCGCGCGAAATCGCGCAACGTTCCGCGGTATAGATTTTCCCTCCGTGGCTGGCGTGGCCTTTGTTTTTCGTGGGAGAACACACGGGGACGAAGAAGATGCGGAGTAACGTTGCGCGCGAGCATTCGCATGAGATCTCGGGCTTGTGGTACTTCGAATTTTACGGCTTGTCGCCTCGTTCATCCGTGGCTGCCAGTTAGTTTTATCTGCGATCACGGCTCGATCATAAATCATCAATCGTAACTTGTAATGGTCTAGGCATTAGCGATGGAATTTTGTTGCAGACGATGCTCGTTTATTTATCGGCCGTAACTCGCGGACTCTTTTGCTCGTCGAATATGAATTACCGCGATGTTTTTTTTTTCTTTTTCTTTGTTTATCCACGCCGGGAAAGAAAACGCCGTAGTCCGGAGAGAAGTCGCGTTCGTTCTGTAAATTGCTCGCGTGATTTGTGCCCCGAAGTTTCAATCATTCCTCGGAATTGTTTCGCGGCGTTCCTTCGGCACCGCGGGCCAACGAGTATCCGCGATTAGCGCACCGCGGATCGCTTGTGTTTATAACGCGAGACCGAGTACTTACGACCGAGCGCACGCCGTTCGAAATCGACGATTCTGATCGATCGATTAATTTATTGATCCGAGCGGCTCGTGTTTTCCGGCGCGCAACGTTTCCAGATCCGCGGCAGGTATTTCGGACGCGTTGAAACCGATTTTGCGAACAGGTTGAAATTGTAAAACGGTCTCGACAAAATTCTAAACAGCCTCGAGATCCCCGATCGCTTAGGGAACAACGATCCTTTTAGCAGACCGAGAGAATCTGCTTCCCACAAATTGCTCGCGAAGAACCCGCATTTCCATAAGCGGCCGCGGCCGGCATTAATTTCGTGTTTTAAGCGTCGCGAGAAGATCGAAGCCGGGAAACGGTTGGGGGAAAAAAATGCGCGAACAATCAGCAAGACCATATAGCGGAGGCATCGTTGGCAAACATGGCGACGATTTTTTCACCCCGGGAACGAGTTTCTGGACGCATTTCTCTACCGGGTGGCGGCCGCTCGCGCCGTATACGCGATCCCGGTAAATTTATGGTAATTGTCTCCGCGAGCCGGAGACGTTTCGCCTTTTCCCTCGTTTCCCGCTACCGGTTGCCGCGTCTGACCTCGTAACTAACCGCAAACGAGCCTCAATAATGCCTGATTGCCACCCGATTAGGTATCGGAGTCCCTCGAAGACCGCGTCCCGGCTGAAAACGGGCGTCGCTCTTATACGGCACCGGAAGCTGTCGCGGACCACGGTCCCCGATGATATTTTCCGGTGTTCCACCGGGAGCCTCTCGATCACGATTTTTCGATTGAGCGATTAATCTCCGCAGTCACGAACGTGTCCGGCGAACAAGACGCCGAGCGGCCGCTTCGCGGTGTTCCTTAACGAAAAACGAAGCTCGAAAACGGCCGGAATGACAGAAGCGACGGGATCGCACGCCATTGGACGACACCGGACCGTAATAACCGGACCGTTCTCGGATAATGACACTGGCCGAACATCGCCAAATTCTCCAAATTATCGGTTGTGTAATACGAGAAATGTAAATTCGACGACGGAGATCCGACCGTTTTTTCACCGCCCGGAGACTTTTCGGACGCGTCACGAATTTGCGGTTCTCGCAGGACGATTACACGGGGCTTTTACCCGAGCTTTTTGGGATTTTGTTTTTGCAGAAGTTCGGCTGTTTATGCCTGTTTGAAATGCCGTGGATCGCTCGGGTGTCGATATTTTATCACGATTGGCTCCTTAGGCTAGATAAATACCGCAGAAATGATCCGAATTTGTTGGTACTCGATTCGCGAAATTCTTCTGCAATACAATGTTGATTGCATTGGTGAAACGTATTAAAACTCAGAAAAACAAGACAATGCCTCGCACAATGCATACATAAGGTACATAATGTCAAATCTCAAATCAACCCTGTCACATTTAAACGAGAAGTGCAAATATGAAATTTGTTTAAAGCAGCAATCCCTAATGTGAACTTCTAAATGACTTATCATTGTATTAAATTATTTTTTCATAGACTGCAAAATTTATGAAAATATGACAAGCATTAAATTGTTATTGAGCACGATTACTGAGGCACGGTAATCGGAGCACAGTGTTCAGGGTGGGAGCACAGTAACCGAAACGCAGTAACTGGTACTCGTAGATCATAAGCTCACGGTAACTGGCTCCAGAGTTTTTTCTCTGCTTTCTCCTAATATTCAGAGGAGAGATTTGATACTCGCGCGATGGGAAAATTATCTGTCGACGAAAGAAACCTCAAGTTATTAAGCAACGCCGCTCGAATCGGTAAAGTTGCGTTTGCCAGCGAAAACTCGACGAATGCTGCTAACAGGTCACAGCGATCGGCTCCTCAATAAATTAACTATGAAAAAAGGCGCGTCGGACAAGCGAGGAGAAACGGCTAACAGAATAATGGACCGTTGTGTGCCGGTGATCGCCTAGAAAAGGGGTATATTTCACGCGTAACAGGCTAATGGACAGGAATTCGAACGGAAGGCAAAAGGCGCCGGATCCGACCGCTCGGGCAACGGTCCGCTCGAGGTTATGCTCACGATGAAACGTCGTCCACACGGTGTTTGTCCCCTTCTTTCCCCGGTAATTGAATGTTCCGCGAGTAGAGCAATCGCATAACTTCGCGCCAGGGTATCCGGTAGGGGAAAGGAGAT